AGGTTGAAACCTATTTTTTTATGTACGAGTTAATATATATCTCCAACGTTTAACCTAAAATATTAAAAATTTTCTGAGGTACTCGTCGTTCTAGGGTTAACAATTTTTTATGATAATAATTTATTTACGGGATTAAAATCCTTTGTCACGAAAGAAAAAGAGAATACAAGAGGAGACGAGGTATAAATAAAAGCTCGCGCAGAGGATAATAGTCATTCGTAACGAACAATTGATTGGCTGAACAATCTTCATAACTGTTGCTTCAAACACGCGACTGATTGGCCAAAAATGTCAATATCTGTGTGCAGTAGATCGACGTTGTTAATCATGCGATTGATACAATCTGTCCGCTGTGATGTAACATGTATCGTGGAGAAATTACGCATTCGCCAGGTAGGTACATTTAATGGGAATAATTCAATGATTGGGGAATTGGATCTTTTAAGACTCAGCTTGTAAACACAATATCGAACAATTTCCTCCTATTATTTAAGTCTGAAAACTCATTTGACGAACAATGTAAGAAGACAATTTTTTTATTAGAATAAGACATGTTTTGTTTTCTATATGTCTTTACTTATTTTCATTCCTTGTTTCGATTTAGAAGAAATTCATAGCATTCATGTTTAGTAGATTATGCCAGGGGTTGACGACTTCACAGTATTCACTTATGAATTAACCCTGAAAAAGACTGTTACGTCAAGGTTATAACCAGCAGTTCGTATTTCGTTTCACAGATTTTTATACAGTTAATTACTTTATATTATTATATTATATTGTATTGTGTTACACTATATTATATTATATTGTATTATACTATATGATATTGTATTGTATTATATTATATTGCATATATTATATTATATTATAGTGTGTTATACTATGTTATATTATATTGTATCATACTATATTATATTATATTGCATTATATTATATTGTATTGTATTATATTATATTATATTATATTATATTATATTATATTATATTATATTATATTATATT